AATGACACGCAGTGGGAAGCCTGCGCGACTCTAGTGTCCGTGCATATGATGTATGTACTGTACTGTGTCTGTACATGCAGGACGGGTACGAACTTACTATCTTTCGGGGGGAACTGTCTTTCGGCGTGATAACCTCGGCAGTGGAAAGTGTATTTTTTATAGGGGGGGGGGGGGGTACTAAGTCATAGGGGGTACTAACTTACGCCGAAATACGGTATATTAAACAGCAGGCTTATGATTTGTAACGTTCTCACACGATTGTTATTAGGAATAGATTGGCGTAATTGCTGTACAGCGATAAACTTTTGCAGCACGCAAATTTGCGTACTGAATCTCTTGATGAATTGGGCTGGTCGACGGTGAGACACTTTTGCAATTCAGTCTCTTCAGTAGGATCTTGTTCTGTCCACAGTCAAGTATTTACGGAGTAGTTCCGGCAATTTATATTCGCGGATGTGTGGGTGCGTGCTGGTCGCGAAAATAGCGAAACATATACAATGTTGAGCGAAAGTTTTAACAGTCCAGTCAACTTCGCTTATAACGACACTCGGCGGGGCATCAAAAAGGTGTCCTTATTCGTGAAGTGTCGTTATACCCGAAGTCTCATTATAATCCAGTAGGATGGGACTTTGCTCTGGGCATGGAAATTCTGTCGGTTATTCGCGAATTGTCGTTATTTCCGCAGTCCTTATTAGCGAAGTTGACTGTAGCTAGCATTAGCTTTGTGTAGTTCTGCAAAATTTTAAAACGTTTTGCATTGTGAGTGTTGAGCAGAAACTAGCAATAATGTTTCAAGCATTACCAGCCAAGCACTACCTAGCACCTTCATCATTCACCTTACGTAGACCAAATCAATTATAGTTTAGGAGTCCAGAAAACATCATGCTCGATGAGAAATACAGGCTTGTAGCAAGGGTCCATTAACTGTTTTTCGAATCTTGCTACTAAGAACATATCCACCCTGTGTTCGGTGTGTGTGTGTGTGTGTGTGTGTGTGTGTGTGTGTGTGTGTGTGTGTGTGTGTGTGTGTGTGTGTGTGTGTGTGTGAGAAAGACCAAGGGTATGGCTGTGGGTGAGTCTGCTGATCGCCGTGACGTTGTTGTCGGAGCAGACACGATTGAGGTGGTGGACCAATTCACCTACCTTGGCAATGTGCTCTCCTCGGATGGTCTTGCCTGTGCTGATGTCCGCTCTCGCCTTGCGAAAGCCTCAGCTGTGTTCGGAGCCCTCAAAGCTCCCGTCTTTGATAACATGACCCTGTCGCTTCGCAGCAAGAGGCGTGTGTATGAGGCTGTCGTCCTTACGACCCTCTTGTATGGTGCGGAGACGTGGACCACCAAGGCAGGCCACCTCCAGAAGCAAAATACGTTTCGCCATCAGTGTGTTCGGTCCATCGTGGGTATCGGCCGTCGTCAACAGTGGGATCATCGGATCACAACGGCCACATTAGCGGCTTCATTCGGTGTTGACCCTAACATCACCAGCACGATCCGTCTTCGTTGGCTGGGTCATGTCGGCAGGATGGACGATGCCCGCGCACCGAAGCAATTGCTTTTCGGCGAGCTGCCTGCCAACGTCCTCGTCACGGCCCGAAGAAGAGGTGGCGAGATTTGGTGTCGACTGACCTGGCGGACCTCGGCGTGACCACCTGGCTTGAGAGTTGCCAAGAGCGTCCCGGCTGGAGACGAGTTGCGAGTAGCACTCCACCGCCACAGTTCGCTCCTGATCCTCTTCTCTGTGTCTGTGAACGCCCGTTTCGTCGACCAAGAGACCTGAAACGGCATGCCAAGTTCTGCGCTCGTGTTCTCACTTGAATTTTCCGACATTGACCATCATTGCAATGGGCAAGATCAAGGTTAAGGTGTGTGTGTGTGTGTGTGCGTGCGTGTGTGTGTGTGTGTGTGTGTGCGTGTGTATGTGTACGAGCGTGCGTGTGTGCATGTGTGTGCATTCTAAAGAAATTGAGACCATCTTTCTTTGAATTATTGTTGGGTGGCTTTGAAAAAAGCCGGTTGAATTGGTAGCGCGGTTGCCGTCCACATCACCACCATCAATACTGCGCTCTGTGGAAGAATCCGAGCTGTAATGGCTCATTGTCACAGGTCCTGGATTCGTACACCTGCAGAGTAAGCACATAACGCCAACCAACATAGCACATCAATCTGTCGCCCAGCCGTAGAGTTCGTCTAAAACGTCTCAGGCGCTTCTCGCAGACCGAGTTAGGCGAAAGTGCGGGAGTGCAACAGCCTGTGAAACATATGATGTCCACCTGGCTCAGGTGAGACATATATGTAGCTGGTTTCATTTTTCTACGCCAACCCACTTGTAAATTTATTATAGTGCGCGTGCGGCCGAGTAGTTCTCTTGGCGTTCTGAGGAGTGCCCACAGTTCGGCTTTCCTCCTCTGCAGCACAGGTGCCAATGCTTCGTACATCAGCCACTCAGTGAGAGCGAGTTCACGTACGCTCTCGTTGGACAACTCGCCAACTATCTGGTGGAAAATTATCCAAATGTAGTCCCTGAAGTTTGCCAAGCTGTTTTCCTGAGCCTGTTCTCGCGAGTCAGCGGACGGTTCGCCATTATTTTTTTCGGAGAACGGCAGAACGTCCCACAACCGCCGAGATGGCGAGTTCTCATCGACAACTTCGAAATCCGAATTCGAAGCCACCATGATGATGGACAAGCAATTCGTCTCGCTCAGGACTCAGAACTCCAGTGACTTGTTTTCATCGCTAGCGAAGACGAAGGGAACTACAGTAGTTGCGTACAGAGCGGGAGCAGATAAATGCTGCGGCGTTGCTATATTCAACGTCGCCCGAGTACTCCAGCCAATCAGCACCTTTCCCGCCACGGCCACGGGTAATATTAATAACAATGTGATATTCCTCGGAAAAAATTATTTCCCCTCAAATATTTTATTTTTGCATAGCGCATAGCGCTAGCGCCGCCTAGTACAGTATCGTCAGGAGACAAAGCATGGTCGAGTTCTTTTTGGAGATGGACGTCGCGGATTATTATTATTATTATTAAATTTTTGATAGGGCAATCCCCACGGGCCTACGGCCTTTTGACAGGGTACCTTAAAAAATGAAGAACAGAATTACGGAAGGTATGCAGGGAAGAACTGTTACTTGAGCGGACCTCCGCTGGGAGGGCATTCCAGCGGTCAGAGCCAAGGAAAGTGACAGAAAATAAACCATAGCGACGTTTGGCTGTCGGATAAGGATATGACCTCCAACTTCTGTCGTCTGATACTTCCGTGGATATCCGGATCATTTTGTTCAGTCGCGTTAGCAGCCTAACTGTCGGTAAGCTTGTGGGTTGGATTCAGTTCGGCTCGATGTGAATCGATGCAGAATCGAACGAATATTTTTCGAGCAACTCCAGCCATGGCCCAGGCCTACCTAGTACCTACATGTACAATTATGTAGAAGCAGGATGACGTCAACATTCACATCTGACTGTTCTTACATGTACATATCCTCTCCGAACACCCATGAAATTATGGTTCAGATGGTCCCAACGCACCGGGGCTCTACCAACCGTGGATGGTTGTCATTAACCATTGGCGGACTATGCTCGGCCAATCGTCAAATTATGCCACAATTATGCCAACAAATATGCTGAATTATGCTGAATTATGGTCGGTTCCACTATGTATTCACGCTGTACATACTTCGAAGTAGAGGATTGAGAAACCACGCATACACACACGGCCATGCCCTAAGCGTAATTTTTGTCTAAACCGAAAGATTATGCCGACCTTACACGTTGGAATCCGTATATTATGCCGGAGCATAATTTTTTGACGAAATCCCAAGAGGATGCCAAATATTATGCCAGCATAATCCGCCAAGGGCTAGTTGTCGTAAGGTCACTGTTTTCGAACACTGTGTCCTCCACCTTGTTTCCTGCTTTCAAACCAACAACATGATTGTGTGAACTAAAACAAGGTTTATCCGAACCCTAGTACTGCACTAGTATTGGATTATCTACATGTATAGTGGAGTAGACTGTCTGTAGCTGTATGTTGTAGTGTAGCATTTTACTCAGTAACCATCTTCCTAATCGGGTTAATGCTTGTTTGAGAGGAGTCAAACCGGGACACCGTCACACGAGTTACACGACCTCAGCTCCAAGCACTAGTAGTAGTGCTACACGTACTGAAGTAGAGCTTGAGCGCCGAGCGGTCATGCTTGCAGCAACATCAGTCGTTCGTAGACCTACGCACTTTACAGCAACATAACTGTCATTTGGTAGATTTTAGTAGGCCTTGACAGATTATGCTAGCATAATTTTTCGCATAATTCCTACGGAAATTACCAGTAGAAGTTGTTCGTCAGGAGTTTGCATTGCCTTGATTGGTTACGTTTTTCTTTCTGGTTCACATTGGAGATGTGAAATGAGTGGAGTTTCTTGTTTCCTTTTGGTATTTTGTTTTCTCTTGTACAGAACCTGACAGCAGATTATGCCGATGTACTCCGTGTGGTGTAGAACAGGTGTGCATTGGTGGTCGATTCACATGGCTTCGCCAGTTGTGTGGATTAGACAGTTATCTGGCGCAAGTCTTGATCTGTATCATTCAGATCTTGTTCGCTATCGTTGCTATAAGAGAAAATCTGTGGGTGCACATCCAGTGCATTTGCAGATTTGCGTGCTTCTCTTGCGACGGGTGTATACATGGTGGTGGTGTGTGCGTGTGTGTGTGTGTGTGTGTCCGTGTATGTGTGTCCGTGTGTGTGTGTGTCCGTGTGTGTGTGTCCGTGTGTGTGTGTCCATATGTGTGTCCGTGTGTGTGCGTGTGTGTGTGTGCGTGTGTCCATATGTGTGTCCGTATGTGTGTGCATGTGCATGTGTGTGTGTGTGTCCGTGTGTGTGTGTGTGCATGTACAACGTAGATGTGTCCATTGCAAGGATGCGACTTACCCGCCGTGTTATCCCCGTCCAGTGATTGCCGTGCTGGACTTCAGTCCGCCAGTCTGTGAGCTGGCCACCGAGAA